ATTTTAATATAATGCATTTTTATTGGTCAATTTATATTATATAAAAAAAAAATTTTACTTTTAGCAAAAATTGAAATTTGAATTATATAAGAGTTTTTTAAAAAGAAAATTTATTTGCCAATTATTTAATAAAAAAATTTTTTTTTTTTAGGGTTGTCAGATAAATACTATAAACTGGACTTTAGAATTAAGGTAAATAGAGAAGGGGAAGTATATTTATTTATTTATTTTAAAAGAAATGTTTCTAATATTTCTTTTTTCTTTTTTATAGGTTTTTAGATGAATATTACAAATTGAACTCTAGAATTGAAGTAAATAAAAGAGAAAAAGTATATTTATTTAAAAGAAATGTTTCTAATATTTCTTTTTTCTTTTTTATAGGTTTTTAGATGAATATTACAAATTGAACTCTAGAATTGAAGTAAATAAAAGAGAAAAAGTATATTTATTTAAAAGAAATGTTTCTAATATTTTTTCTTTTCTTTTTTGTAAATTGCTAGACAAATACTACAAACCAGATTCTAGAATTGAGGTAAATAAAAAAGAGGAGTATATTTATTTATTTTTTTTTAAAAAAAAACATTTCTAACATTTTTTCTTTTCTTTTTTATAAGTTATTAAACAAATATTACAAACTGAACTTTAAATTTGAAGTAAATGGAAAGTTCTTTATTATTATTAATAAAAACAATTTTAGCGTTTCTTTTCTTTTTTATAGGTTACCAGATTTTTAATAATAAAATGAATCTGGACTTACGTAATAAAATAGAATAGAAGAAATAGGAATTCTCTTAATATTAAAGAAACATACTAACATTTCTTATTTATTTTATTTAGATTGCCAGACTTTTAGATGAACCTGAATTTGAAATACTTGGAATGTAAACTTAAGAAAAGGAAAAGAATTTTTTTTTAAATATATTAAAGAAATATACTAACATTTTTTTTATTTATTTTTTAGGTTGCTGAACTTTTAAGCAAATCTAATTAATAAAAAACTTTTTTATTATAATAAGTAAAATTATTAAATAAAACAATAAATAAAATATTGCAAAAAATTTTAATTACATGAAAAAAAAAAGAAAAAATTATTACTAGTAAAAAAATCAAAACTATGCTGAAATTCATATAAAATATTAATATCAGTTATATTAAAATTATGCCAAATGCTAAAATAATTTTGGCAGTTTTAGCAGTTTTAATATTTTGGCATTTTAGCAATTTCGGTATTATATAAAGTAAACATGAGCCTGAAATCTTTATAAGGATTTTTGAAAGTTTTAAGTTTTAGAATATATAAAATGAAACCTTTTTCAAAACTCTAAAGTGAATCTGAATCTCAAAACTAATTCCAAATTCTGAAACTAGCTTCAATTATTCTAAAACCTCTCTTAAAACCTGAAATTATTATCAAATTTATTTACTAATGATAATTGTGAATAGGGTTCATTTTAAAATGACTTAAAATTTGGAAATCTTAAATGTACTTGATTTAGATTTAATGTTTAATGTTAAGGATAAATCAGATGATTTAATGAATAGGATAATAGGTAATTAATAGAACAATAATTGAACAAGAGAGATAATTTGATTTAGTTTTATAAGTGTAATACTAAAATGAGGTTTTAATATAATTGAAACTAGTTTTAAGTTTTAGACTAGGTTTTTGATTTCAAGTTTTGGGAAATAAGTATATATAAAAGAATTCAAAAGGTTTTAGTTTTAAGCTTCATATTTAATGTAGAAAGTCAATTTTTGGCATTAGGCTAAATGAATTTCAGCAAGCAACTTTAGTAATAACTGGTAGTATAATTAGACTTATAAGAAGACAAAAAATATTATTAATAATATTATAATAAATCTAATAACAAATTTTATTCTGGATTTAAATTTATCAATTTTAAAAGGAGAAAAGAATAGATAAAAAGATAAAAAAAATATCAAATCAATATCAGTATAATTTAAATTAATAAATATAGTATTGCTTATTTTTATTTTACTTTTATTTTTATTTGTATTTTGATGATTATATTCTACTGGTTAAATATAGCTCCGTTATAATAATTTGTTTTAATAAAGTATATATAAATTATTAAAATATATATATATGTATATATATAATTATATTTAATAAATTTTAATTATTTAATTTATTTTATTAATATAAATATTAAATTAAATAACAGAAAAATGTAAAATTATCTTTTTATAATTAATATTAGTTTTATTAAAATAAATCAAATAATGATAACGATAAAATTATTTTTTTATAATTATTATGCTTTTTAAAATTTTGCTATTTTCCATATAAATCACCTAATAAAAAAATTATTAAATATATATACAGTCATCCTCCCATATAATCACACCCTTCGGGACCATAAAAAAATGGTGTGACTATAAAAATTATATATGATGTGATTAAAGGGAAGGTTTTTTTAATAAGTTTATTAGTAACTTAGGATTAATGTAAATGTGCTTATAAGGGAGTTTTGATTATACAGGGGGTGACTATATGGGAGGATGACTGTATAGGGCTATGTGTATTTTTGACTGCTCTACAAGTTTTCTTAATATATCAAAAAGGATTTAGAATGTAATTTTTGACTTTTATATGTAACATATTATAGGATATAATATAATACAAGTGCAATAAAAAACAAAACCCTATTTATTTATCCATTTTTAGAAGATTTTGTATTAAAAACTAATTATTAATTATATTATAATTGATAGCTTTGAAAATTTGTATAATTCAGAAAGATTTGCATTTTTCAAATAAAAAAATTATTTGTAATAACAATATTGTCTTTCAATATAGTAGTAATAGTTTTGAAGCTTTTTACTCATTTTTTAATTTTTTTAAAATGAAAAAATAAAAAAAATCAAGCAAAGAAATAGTTTTCAACAATAAGGTATATTACATTTATATTCACTGATTAATTGTGTAAATGGTAGGAAATAAATCAATTATCCTTCACTCTCTATTGAATCAGCCATAACTAATCAAACAAATATAATTAGAAAGAGGAATTACTTTCCAGTGTATCAATTCTCCCGAATTTACATTAAGCTGTACTAAAAATCTATTCTTTTAAATATATAATTGTTTTTGTTAAAAAGAAATTCATAATAATAATAATAATACAAAATAGTAACAGGTAATAAATACTTACAATTCAAGTTTTATAATTCTTAAAAATTAAGATTTTTTTTTTAACCTTTTCACCAATTTATTACTATAATCTAATTTTCATGATATACATAACTTGTCACTCTGTATTCCTGCATTATGCCCTTTATTAATTTCACTAAATGATAAGTAAATTCGGCATACCTTATTTGTAATGCTTTATAATTTGTAATTTGTATATGCAAAATACATATATATCATATGAATTCTGAAACAAAATTAACAGAACTTTAATTGAAGAATAGATTTAAATAAAGTTTTATTATGCAAAACATATTAATATAGCATATAGGTTCCTTGCAATCTGGTCTAATATTTTATGAAATTTACCGTTACAGAAAAAGGTTATCAGATAAGGCAGTTTCAGTATTGCATATGATTTCTTTCTTATACAACATCAATGTTAATGCAATTTGGGATACGTTAAAATACTTCTCATTAAATATGCACATAAATCATTTTCTCAAATAAATCAGCTCTCAGATACTTCATTACGGTAAAAAAGATGATCCTCATATTACTTATTTGAACATGAATTGAAACAGAATTGGAAGCCTTAGATCCACAAATAACAACGATAGATTTCACCTGTAACTTTCTAAGAAAATTAATATAATATGCAATAAATATTACGAGAATTTACATATCTGTACTCCATAATGAAGGAAGGGGGAAGTATTCATAATCACAAGCGAAAGCTACATCATATACAGTCATGAACCTATTTCCCGGTTAAAGTATAATTCCCTTGAAAAAAATAATTGACTCCAACTGAGATCATTGGTCCATTAGATATCAAATATGAAAGGGATTTGATTGAAAGAATGGAAGAGTTTTATTTTGATAAGACTAACACCTATTTATGTCCGATTACAGTATCGGTGACACTTTTAATTTCAGCGTTTAATTTCAGCATAAAGTGAAACTCCAGTGGATAGTAAAATGCATAAAATTAATTGAGGTTGAGTAACCTAACCAACCATGCTTGTTTACAATACTTCGTTCATGTACATACAATTGGTGGTATCACATTTGGAATTTTCTAATCACGCCAGTTTCTTGTATCACGTTCTGTGCTCAAACGTCAATGCATCTTCACATGGCGTGAAAGCAGCTTTGTGATATTATAAAATTAGCACACGCGTTGAAATTATAAAGACTAATAAAATTTTATCATATGAGCAGGAAATAGAGCTTGTCTTATTGATTAAATTTTATCGCAAAACATATACCAGATACTGTATAATAAGATATTAACTGTTATTTCACAACTTTCATCGAAAGAAAGATCAAACTGTAAAATATTTTTACTCCCTGTTACAATAAAAGAAATACGATAATCAAGAGCATAATTATACATTGCATTGCCCTATAATAAACTGATGGAACCCCTATAAAAAATTTTATCCGTTATTTCAAACTCCGTAAAAATGAGCCTTTCACGGATCCATTCACGGAAAATGTAAATTTACGGAAAAAAGATGGAATATAAAAAACGGATCGACTTTTTTTACAGGGAACAAAATGCAGGAAGCACTTTATGTTTGCTTCAGGAAATTCAGATAGTTTAAAGAAATTAAATAATACTGACAGTAACGATTAGTGTTTTATGATTTAACAATTTTTTATTAATTCGCGTATTTTCGCTGGTTACAAAAATTGATTAAACTATCTATTATAAAATATGTAGTAAATACATGTTTTTATTATTTGCTTAATAATAAAAAAAAAATGAATGAATGAATGAATGATAATATTTTATAAAGATAAAATGAAAAATGAATGAATGAATGAATGAATGAATGAATGAATGTTTGAAATGAATGAATGTTGAAATGAATGAATGTTGAAGACATTATGCAAGTTTGCAAAAATATCTTTATGATGCTGTAAAAATTGTTATGTACAAATTTGATAATGTGATAAAATTGAAAATAAATGATTGTGATGATTTGAGAATGTTTGTTTGCTGTTTACCCGTTTAAGGTAAAATAATAAAACTATGGTTTAAGGTAATAAACAAAAATGCCATTAATTTTTAGAGGACAAATAATCCATTACTATAACGTAATTTAGCGTTTTTGGATTTTGTGAAATTCCATAGACTTGTGTTGAATTTTTCTTGTCACATTCAATTTCAGCTACAATCTGTTAAAAAATAAAATAATTATATTTAATTAATCTTATATAATAAAATAAAGTAAATAAATATGTATATAATTATTTTTTACTTACCAATTTTAAATCATTCTGAGTCATATGGGAAGAATTATTTAATTCTTTCAATAAAACTTTCCAATCTTTCGATTTATTCAAATCAGCACTTTTCCACTTGGCAGAATAATTGAAAGAATTGCTACTGTTTGAATGATATGATATGTTATCAAATTGATCGTAGATAATCCAAAATAAATTGTCGCTTTTCAACGCTTTTTGTTGTTTGTTTATTTCAAATTTTATTTCATCAAATACATCAACGTAATCCTTTTTTTGTGAAACTTTAACTGAAGAATAATATTGTTGTTCTAATTTAAATGCAAGTTCATATGCGTCTATTATTGAGGAAATCGATTTTTCATTATAATCGGTTGGAGCAATTTCATAATCTGCATATTTACTTTTGCTGATTTTACAACCCATATCTAAAAAATGGTAGTCTTTTAAAAAAAATTTATGATGAAATTTATGATATTAGGAATTTCGATCCACGAAATTAATGGTCTTGGGATATTTTTCTTGTTCTATTTATAATGATAATTGTAGAGGTATGAAATGATGTAAATCAACTCCGATTATGGGATGGATTGTATTTATAACAAAGTTTCTATTCTACAAAGTCTACAAAGTCTAAAGTCTAAATCTAAAGTTTCAACGAAAAAAAAGGAAAGTGTTTATCAAATAAAATTTATAATGAAAAGAAAAATCATGGTGTGGATATTCTGATTGTTTTTCCTCATTTATATGTCATTTTATAGATTTCTTTGTCTGTGCTTTTTTTTTGTTACCAACTTTAAAGGACTGGACCAATAAATATTCAACAAATTATTGGGATACGAATTACATTCTAAAATAAAATATGACCTGCATTCCAAAGAGAACAAGGTCATTTCCTTATTTGGCCGTAATATCTGGTTTTTAATTTGTTGTTATTTGCTATTTGACAAAGAAAATTTATCCTTTATTTTGACACAAAGAAAACAAAATTTTATTGGGGCGGACTCAATTTAATTATAGTATAAAAAAGGAATACTTTTATTTTAATTAGATTAATGTTGTACAACCGAAAGAAATGAAGATTTTCTTGGTATGTATAAAGTTGGAAGAGAGGAAGTAATTTGTAAAATAGAGGGAAAACAAGATAAAATGACCAAGTTCATTGTCTTGTATAGACTAAAACTTACGGATGTAATAATAATAAGATAAACGACGGATGAAATAATAAGATCGAGCGAGAGTAATAACATTATTTGTTTATTAAACAGTATGTACTTTTATGCCTTTATGATACGACGTCATATAGAGTAAAATTACTCAATATTTACTATAATTCACATTTCACGTGTTGAATTTATTTTTTATATTAACTGTGTTATTATCACTAAACAAATATAGGTGATCGTTAGTGAGTTCGTTATTTTCTTTCCTTAATAAGTAAATTTGCATTATAAATTTGGTTTTAAAGGCTGAATAGATGTTTGATATTTGATATTTTCCGAAAAGAAAGAAAAGAAACATCTTATCTGTTACATCTTAATGATATCAAACAAAATGGCTTTTTTTTTTTCTTAATCAGTAGAATAGCACATAATAATAAGTTGTTATATTCCAAAAAAAGTAAAATTCTACATCTTTCTCTTATACACATCTAGATGTGTATAAGAGACAGGTGCGATTTTATTCGTTAAATCAATGTGCAGGGGATTTGAATCGGAAGTCATGTGCAATGTGCATGTGGCCATGTGCATTATTAGTAGCAAATGATTCGCTTCGCCAATAGTGAGTGACGAATTAACAATATATCAGATATGTGTGCATGTTACAATGTATAGAAAATTAACTTGTTAAAAAGGATCCACTGAGTTTTTTGGCTCTGTTATTTTTGACTGATTTTTTACATTGATCTTTTCGCATATATGGAAAGGAAATTTTGTTGGCAGAATTTGGCAACTATTTATCCTTCTCACCTTTCGAATTATAGATGGAATTTAAATTAGTTTCAATTATGTTTAAACTATTAAATTTATGAATGTATTTGAAGAAGATGAAAATTTATAAATCACACTTCTTATTTATATATTAATGTCTAACAAGTTTAAAAAATATTGTAATATTATTAATACAAATGCTTTAATAGATTTTGAACTTACTGCAATCAAATCTATTTATACAGAATTTTTATTCAAACATATTTAAATAACTTTATCATCTTGTTTTATAATATTTTGATTACTATAATTGAATTATATGTTATAAAGTTGGTATTATTTTCTTTTTTTAAAATAAAATCCTAAAACATTTCATATAAAACTTACAACTTATTTAATACAATTTGCTTTTTTAGATCTTTACAATTATTGTCTTAGTATTCAGTAATTCCCTATAATTTAAAAAAAATTAGCTAAATTATTGATTAATAAAATAATTGCAAAAATTACTTTTTTGAATTTTAAATTTATTTTAACATTAAATTTACTAATTGCCTTTTTTTTTTATTTATACTATAAAATTGAATTATAAATTATTATATTAAAAATATTTGAAATTTATAAGAAATTTTACAATGCAATAAATTTTTATTTAAAAAATTTAATCTATTAAATTTTAATCCAAGTAAATATTTATTAATTTTTTTTTTTAACCACTGCACATTTATTAAGAACAAGCTAAACCATTACAAATATACAGAATATATATAAGCAAGCTACCTAAACTATCTATCAAAATAAACTACTTGCCATCCCATTTTGGGACCTCACTTATGCACAGTCAGACAGGTATAAAGCTATACAGATACAGTTCATATGAAATGAACTTTATCTTAACCCTAATAGGCCCTGTAGTTTAAACTTAACAAACTACAAACTAATTCCAATATATATGAAACATAATATTATTATTATTAAGGTTGCTTGTCTAAACCTCTTCAAAATCCTACGATTAGTTTCATCAAAATTTTACNTAAGAGACAGGTGTTTCAGCAGTTTCGGCATTTATAATAAGTTTTGGCAGTTTCACCTTTCTCCAAAGTTTTGCCAGTTTTTTAATATAACTTTAATATAGTTTCAGCAGAATTTCACTTTTCGGCAAAACGCCATCTTGCTTAAACCCCTAAGTTTCGGCAAGCAACCTTAATTACTATTATAAAAACATTAAAAATAAAAAAGTAATGTAAAGAGTCAAGTCTTTTATAAAATACTTATTAATTATATATCTTGTCTAACTATTTATATATATTTTTCTTAATAGTTAATACTTATATACTAGTAGCAATTTTTCTTTCAAAAGATTTATAATAATATATAATTATTTTTTATTATAAATTTCTTTACTTTTTGAAATTTAATTGATATTATTATTTAATAATAATATTATTTAAATAGTAATATTTGGATTGTTTATTATTACAGATTAAAATTAAGAAGAGCAAGACCATGTTTAAGGAAGGAAGCAGCAGATTGGCTAGAAGAAATACAAGAATTAAATAATTTTGATGAAACAGCCAATAATACTAATTTAGTATATCAGATGAAAAGTAAATATACTAGTGCTGTTAGATAACAATAATAGATAGGAGAATTACAATCCATTAAACAGAAAGAAAAAGAAAATGTAAATGAATATGCAGTAAGATTTAATAAATTATTGAAAAAAGTAGCATCAGACAATAATGATTTACATAAAAGATTTAAAATAAATTATTTTATACAAGGATTAAACCCAATAATTGGAAGAAAAATGTTTGAAGAAAACCCAGATATTTTAGCAGAAGTACTGTAATTACCAGAGCAAAAGGTATAGAAGCAGGTAATACAGTCAACTCTCTTTATAGTCACACATTTGGGACAGTCCATATTTGGTGATTATAAAGAGATGTGACTATATAAAAAATTTCTTATATTAGTATATCATAATTCCGGCCAAAAATTAACATAATTTTAGCTAAAATTATACTCAAAACTTTATTGTATCGTAACTCCGCCAATATTAATCGTAGAGAGATGATCTTACCTAGGGATGGTAAATTACTGTAATTTATGAAATTTATTGTTACGTTACGGTAATTTTCTATAAGTTACATTACACTATTTTATTGTAACATTCAATTTGATATAAATTAAAGATGATCAAAGATAATCAATTTTTAAAAAAATGCCAAAACAAAGATATTCTTTCTGGTCAGAGTTTGAAGAAATAATAGATTCCAATGGAAAAAAACGATATAAATGCATATATTGTAATTCTGATTGGGCAAAAAATGCGACAAGATTACAAGAACATCTTAATACTTGTCTTGCAAGGAAAATTACAATGGAATCCATCATATCTGAATCTGAACCTGCTGTAAACCAAACTAATAAACGTAAACAAACTACTTTAAATCACTATATGCCTTTTTTTACAAAACAAGATCAGGAAGAATTAGAATCATGATTAGTTCGTGCATTTTGCAGTACTGGTCTACTGGAATTCCTTTTAATGTAATAGAAAATGTTGATTTTCAAGCATTTTTACAAAAAGCATGTCTTTCATTTCACATTCTGTCACGTCACACATTATCTGGTAATTTACTAAATAAAGAATATAAAGATTTGAAAAAATTAGTCTGAAATGTTTTTAATGAAACACCATATTTTTGCATAACTAGTGATGGATGGTCAAACATAAATAAAGCTCCAATAGTTAATTACATAATAACTACTCCAAAACCTATTTTTTATAAATCGGTATATACAAAAGAAGAGCATCATACTGGGGAAAATATAGCCAAAGGTATAGAAGAATGTATGATATCAATTGGAATTGACAAATTTACGGCTGTAATAACTGATAATGCTAATAATATGAAATCAGCATGGAGAATACTTAAAGAAAAGTATGCTGATAAGATTTTTCTTGGATGTTGGGCACATGGAATTAATTTGTGGGTAAAAGATATAATGAAACACAAATGGGCTAATGATATCTTAGAAAAAGCGAAACGATTGGCTTTATATTTTCGTAATCACCAAATTCCATTAGCTACACTTCGGAGAATACAAAAAGAAAAGTATGGATATGAAGTTGCTTTAACATTAACTGTTGAAACAAGATGGATGTCAGTGTTTGAGTGTTTAGATCATATTTTGAAAACAAAAATTGCAATGAGAGCATTGTTGGCAGAAGAAAATATTATTTTAAATCAAGAAATTAAAAATTACATTATTGATGATTGTTTTTGGGAAGAACTTAAAAATCTTCGTGATTTTTTGGAACTGTTTATAAATTTTATACGAAAATTAAAAGAAGACGAACCTTATCTTTCATCAGCTTTTGTTACATTACGAGATATTGAAAATAACATCTTATTAAATAATAAAATTCCAAATGATTTAGTTGAATATTCAATAGATAGAGCTAAATATCGGTGGGACAACTTTTTATATAATCCTGCGGTTATTGTTGCATATAGATTAGATCCTAGATTTAATGGAGAACTAGTAAATAGTGGTAATTGGCATGATATTATAGAAGAAGAAATTATACGTATTGCCGGAAAAGAGAATGAAGTTCGGGTATTAATTGAATTAAGTGAATATATAGGAAGACGCAGAGGATTTGCTAAAAAACATTTGTGAAGTGGATTAAATCAAATGCCAATTAATTGGTGGAATTTATTAAAGTCAAGATACCCACTACTTAGTTCGGTTGCAATTAAAGTTTTATCAATTCCGGCTTCTTCAGCAGTAAGTAAAAGAAATTGGT